GTCCCAGCTGGAACCTCTGCTGGCTGTGTGCCGCCCGACGCCACTTCTGCACCGGCCACTGCAAGTTGCATAAAACACCAATTAAACACACACACACACACACACACATAGGGACTGAAACATACCTTCTTGTGGATTGCGATTGCCATACTGCTGGGTGGATCCAGATGGGTTTCCTTCGGGCTGAGAATTCATCTTTAGTTAGTCGCTTGAATTTTTCGTCTGTAGTTTGACTTTATAAACAAAATCAGAGGCTGTTGAGTGCTGGAAAACAGCCCAAAAAATGCCTGCTATCAGAGTTGCTCTGGAATATGAAGTGCTGGGCAACGTCCAAAACTCAGACGCGCCGAATAAGGAACTTAAATTAAGTCTGGGAGGTATATCCAAGGCTTCCAGACTTGGAATATGTTCAGCGATCGATCTGCTGATTTATATTTCCCTTAATTTTTGATTTTCCTGGGCATACAATGCATTTACATTCATTTAGGAATGTTTTCAAACAAATAAAAGCCTACCCCCATATTTTTTAATGCGTGTAGCAAACATCTAGAACTCCATCATAGGTCTAAATGCAATCCACTCTCCTTCTGCTTCCCCTGGTCGATCCATCCCACCACCGCGGTGATTCTTCGCCTTGGCATACAATGCAACTGTTTGGCAAACTTCTTACGCTCCTGCAGCCAAGAGGCTCAAACAGTTTCCATCACAGCTCTCTTCCTCTCTTACCGACGTTCCCTGGCAATCGGAACCACCCAACCAGGTCAAGTGAAATGTGCTCCACAAACTTTTCTTTGCTTCCCTCTTTGCCTTCCTTTCCTTTCGTTCTGTTCCTTATCCACACACTGGCAACATGCATCAAAGGAGGAACACACAAGGAGCTCAAGAGAAAGTGGAAACTGTGACCCGATTCCTGTGAGCCTCTCCTACTTGGACACGTTCCAATGCAGATGTGTTGGCTGCTCGTGTTTGGACATTGGGGATTTATGCCACGCCTCCACACCACTGAGAAATTTATACAGAAATTCCCAACTTCGCAATGAAATTTTTGACAAATGCTTCCAATTAAGTGGAACAGAGTGGGAGTGGGGGAAGGGAAATCTCCCAGGATCACCCACCGAAAACACAGGGCGCTCACATGGTGTGGCCAGGCATATTGATTCGGATTTGGACTCGGTCTGCCATGGGGATTTGGCCCTAAATGCTTCTCATTTATTTTAACGCCCAGCGAGAGTCGAATGCCCAAAGCTCATATGTGATACGGGGCGGGGACTGTGGCTGGTGTTTTCGAGCAGTCGGACCTGTGTGCCGCAGGATATATTTCCGACTTGAAGCCGCCGCCGCCGCCTGTGGCGTAAATATCTGATTAGGCTTCTGCCCACGAAGCCTTCTCCTCCTCCTGTTCCTCCTGTTTCTCCTCTCCCATTCTCCTTTTCTAGGCAACCGAACAAAGGGAAGCAAGAAAATGGTGAAAATGAAAATAATCTTGGGCAACATCTGCAGGAGCATGGGGCGGGGACGCTGCAGGACTTGACTGCTCCCTTTTCGATTGGGGACAAGGTTAAGCATTCGGCAGTAAAGTGGCAACTTATTGTTTGGAATTGCCTGAAATTGTGTAGGCCGAAAGGAATATAAGAAACCATGGGAAAGGTGAAAGGGAAATATTGAGGCCTTGAGGCTTTTCTTTGAGACATTTCTTTGAGTTGAGAATGAAAACTGTTTTCAGTTGGCAGCAGGGAAAGCAGGTTTGGGCCAACCCAATAGATTATCTGAACAATTAGCTGCCTTATTGATATCTGCGGTTGTCTCTGAACCACATCCTCTATCACTCTTATCCAGTACTTACGCAATCTTTACGATATTGTCTCACCCTGTCTCTCTCTGTCCATCTCACTTGACCTGCTCACTGCCAGAAGTTCTGGCCTGAGTCCTGCCTGGCCAGAGTATCATCCTCATCATGGCCTGGCTGTGGTTGCTGTGGTCATCCACCAGCTACTTGTGTCTGCTGCTCCAGCTCATCCTCAACCTGCAACTGCGACTGCGACTGCGGCTGACACTCCTCCACTTGACTTGGATGCCGTAATTGTCCTTGTCCGGCAGTGTCCTGTGGCAGCTATCCCTGTGCTGTTTGTTGCTTCTTTGTGTGTGGTTCTCTAATAACTGATGGAAATAATTTGCTCATTTCTGGAAAATACATGGCCAGGATATTGTGTGTGTGTGTGTGTGTGTGGTCAGCATATTGCAGAACAGCACATAATAACGAGGTTAAATTTTCCGAAAATTATTGCTTCAGAAATTCATTAGATATTAAATATCCACTCCAAAATAATTGCCCTCCTTGCTGGCTAACAATTTAATTCGTTTATTTCTCCTTGGATAATTTGAATCTCATCAGTCTGCAATCTGCCTGAAAAGAGGAAGAGAAGCAGAAATGTTTCCAAGCGAATGCACAATTTACTCTTTTATGCCCCCCAATCAATATATTCATATAACCATTTTTTTTCGATCAAACCCTTCGCCCAAAATAAATCATATAAATATATATATTCCCCAAATTCGAACAATTGAAGCTTTGAATGCATTTTGTTATGTTTCCATTTCCATTTCCGCTTTCCAATTCGATTATCCTCTGAATTGTCTGTTTGGTCTGGTCTGTTCTGGGCATATTCTCTCGATTCTCCATCCGGGCTACTCTTGGCAAAACATTTGAATTTGAATTCATTGAGGTGCAATAAATAAACTTGCCACATAAATCATTTTAGCAGCAACTTAAGCACTCGGAATGGAATTTTTTCGCCCGGCTATCCTCAGTATCTTCAGTCGCTCAGCTTCACACAGCACAACGGACTGTAAGGGTGGAATGAATACTCGCATCAGCGATGCTTGGAATACACTGTAAATAATTCAGATGAACATTTTGGCAGATAGTGGCCGATGTATTCTATATCCTGACAGGTTGGTTAGCAAACCAAACTTTAGAGTCAGATACGCAGCACATTCATCCAATATTCTCTACTATTTACCTCATTGTTATATATCCATATTGCCTGCTGTGCCATGTTATTTTATTACCCTGAAGTAGAGGGTATATACATTTTGGTGCGGCTAAGGACGCCTTGGGGACAGATTGAAGAGAATTGCCGAGACGGGTTACAGCCCAAGAACTAATTGGCCAAAAACAATAAAACTCAGCTCCTTTAAAACGGAAAGAAAGTCACTCTCTCCTTGTCTCTCTCTCTCTCTGTATCTGTTTTTCTGAGCCTTTCTCTGTCGCTCTTAAAGTTTGGCTAAATGTTTGCGAGTCCATTTATAAATCCGTGCAACGTTTGCTCTATGTGCCCAAGGGATTTGCCCCAGAACAGGACAGGGCAAATATTGAAACTATAAAGCGTTTGCTTTTTTCTCTCGCTTCCACACCCACTCATTGCCTTTCACGCGCTCCCCATGTCTCTCTGCCCCACTCTTTTCTTTCCCCACTCTTTCCTTCTCTCTCTCTCTCTCTCTCATCTCTTCCTCTATGTGTGTGTGCGCTGTGCAAAGCTGCTTTAATCCTAAAAAAGTTTTTGCTGGTGAGTGGGTTAAAAGTAAGAGCAAACTACCAGCACGAGTACATGGTACATAAGCGGCTTATGCCATTAGTTTGGAATCGCAGTTTGTCCAGCACTGTGACCAGCACTGTGTGCCGGCCTGACGAGCGATGTCCTGCCCACCACCTGCCCATCTATGCCCCCCACTATCTATCGATATATCCGCTGTGTGTGTGCCTGTGCAGAGTGTGGGCCCAAAAGTTTCAGGTAGCTGCCGCCCGGCATCAGCCAATTCATGCGGCAAACTTTAAAGGGCCCTGGCTCCAGTGGCGGCCACTAATTGCTGCAAGTTTGACGTGTAAAATCAAAAGTTATGACCCAGAGATACCCTCAAATGGGGCAGAATCCCTGCGAAAGTTTATCATAATTTGTGCGTAGATAAGTTACGCGTTGGCCACCAAAGTGGGTGGTTTATGGAGCGTCTAATGGAAAAATATGGGAACTTATGCTAAGTTCAGCTAACGGGAGGGGGAGGTGGGATTTTGGTTCTAGAATTATTTATTTCTCAGTAAAGAAATATCTTTAAAAATAATTCCCATCAGTTCTTCTATTCAGGAATTGATTTATAAATAATTATGTGCCGTCGAATGATGCAGAATAAATCAGACTAGCATGAGATATTGCTTGAAAAACAATTTATATATAATATAAATAATATATAATAATAATAAAATAAATAATATATATATAATATATTGATTATATATTATATATTATTATATTATTATATTATATATAATATAAATTATATAGTTATCCTATACCTACATATATATATTTTCTACATATTCTCCCATTTCTGCCCTTACCAGATCTTCTCTCAAAGACTCCCCACAACAGATTTCCGCTCATCTGAAACCATTTAAAGTTGCATCTTAAGCAGTAGCCAACTCCCTTTTGTAGCTGCACAGAAAGTATGTAAGAATGTCGCCATCAGGTCTGACTTTATTACAGTGCAATCCCCTGACTGGCCCACCGAGACTGCAGCAGTTTGCCAAGACCCAGGACCGAGAAGAGAATAGCCATTTTTGTCGCATACTCCACGCGGATTTTGACTGCATAAAATATGAAATTAAATTGCCAGCCAACAAAATGGCGCCTGGGAAAATGACAAAAATATGAGACAGCAGCGCTGCAGCCCAGCCTCTCGCTCTGCCCCACCAACCCTGCAGCTCTTGTGGCGGGGGAATTCTCTTGGCACTGCCAACTTGATGACTTGCAGCTGTCGCAATTCTTTCGCGACTTTAGACACTGCTGCAACGCTTGTTGGCACCTGGTTAGCCACCTCGATGATGTTGGGATTTCATTTGCCGGCAAATATTGCGGCACGCCGCCCCGCCACGCCCCGCCTCATGGGATGTTCTGTGGTCTGAGGTTGCTTTGCAATGTGCCGAAGCCGTAGCCGAAACCCAGCAAACTCTGACATTGTGTGCACCCAGTGAATGCCTAAAATTTAGTTGTAAAAAATGTTCCGTTTAAATGAGATAACTTTCCGTAAAATTGGTCTTTGTGTGATCCTCTCGTGTCTGGCCCTGTACGCGTACGTGTGCACGGACATGGACACGGGACCCAAAATTGAAAATGCGTACTTTGTGAACAACGAGGGCTGCAAAATGATTGCCCTGGATGTGACGAGTCCCGAGATAGACAGCTACATGCACAAGCCACCAAACGCGTACAAGTGCGAGGATGCCACCTGGTTTGGCTCGAAACTCTTGAATGGCAGCTGGTACCTGGAGCTGATCCGCGACATTGATCAGATACTGATCGACCATGATCTGCACAATGAAACCAACATCGAGTGCGAGTACGATCGATTTGACGGGCAGGGCGACAGCCACTTGGAGCACTACAGAACGGTTACATTCAATCTGCTGCCCCCATACCGCTGGAAGCTGGGACCGTCCATGTACCTGCGTGTGTTCTGCTACCACTCCAAGCAATTACTGCACGAGGATGTTCATTTCTTCATCCAGCCACCGCCGCAGGAGCTACTCGAACTCGAACAAGCAAAAAGCTTGAAGAAATGGCACGAAGGCAATGAAACGGAACCAGCAAAACCCACCTCTGAGCCCCTCATTTCGGTGATGATTCTGGGTCTGGATAGTGTTTCCCACCTGAACTTTCTGCGCCAAATGCCGCGCACCGCCAACTATCTGCGCAAACAGATGTCTCACGTGGAGTTTTGGGGCTACAACAAAGTCGGCTTGAATACATATCCGGCTATGATTCCCATGCTGACGGGCGAGAGCGCAGAGGAGAATGAAAAGTATTGGAAGCCCCACAATCGCATGGACGATTGCCCTTTAATTTGGAAAGACTTCAAGCAGGCCGGCTATAACACGAGCTTCGGTGAAGATTATCCGGAATACAGTCTGTTCAACTACTTGAAGCCTGGATTTGCCTCGATACCCACCGATCACTATCTGCGTCCCGCTGTGAACTCCATGTTGAGGGTTTTTAGCAAAGATTCCCTTGCCTGGTGCTCGGCTGGCCGCACACTCACGGATATACTGCTGGAAATGGTGGAGAGCCTGCTGCCCCATATGCAACGGCATCCGTTCTTCTCGTACTTCTGGTGGGGCCAGGGCTTCCATGACTACTTGAATTTCCCTTCAGTAGTCGATCAGCGTTTTGTGCGACTGCTGCGGCGTCTCGATGATACGGGAATCAGCAACAATACCTTCATATTCTTCATGTCCGATCACGGCTCGCGGAGGGGCTCTTTCCGGAAAACACTTCAGGGCATGCTGGAGGATAATCAACCCATGCTGTTTGCGCTCTACCCCAGGTGGATGAAGGAACGCTATCCGCTGGCCATCAGCAACCTGGAGAGCAATAGTCACAGTCTGATTACCACATACGACATGTACGAGACAATGAGGGACCTACTCCACCTAGATTCATTGCAGGAGAATCGCATCAAGCAGCAGTCAAGTCTGCTATGGAAGCTACGTGGCTCTGACACACCGCGTGGCGTCAGCCTCTTCCTGCCAGTGCCTACGTGGCGCAACTGCAACACCTCCCACATCCCCGCCATGCATTGCTTGTGCCAAGAGCTGAAGCCTGTGCCAGTCGACGCTCGAGAGGTGCTGCTGGCCGCCCGCACAGCTGTCCTGGCGATCAATCAGCTGCTGGAGACCTTTCAGATGTGTCATCAGCTGCAGCTCAAGAGCGTGTTTAGCGCCTACTCATCGGCTCCCCATATGACCCAAGGGCATGCTATGAGGGACATCACTGTGCGCTTCGAAACGACTCCAGGCGATGCTTACTTTGAGTCCACTTCACGGCTGTCGGGTGGGGTGTTATCCCTGGCGGGAGACATCGTTCGGATCGATGATAGTAGCAACAGCATGAGCAACTGCATTAGCGAGCTCAGACTGGAACCCTACTGCTATTGCGGATTGTAAAGTCAGCTTTTGTCGCTTGTTCGCATCAAAAACGCATCAATAGAAATTTAAGAGTATGTTTTTACGTATGTATTTCCGTCAGCTAAATAAACTGTTTTGTTTTTAAAATGTATAAAGAGTCCAACATTTATTTGGAATGGCCTTTGAGGTTTTTTTCTAAATTATTATAATTCATTAAATGTGCTTTGGCCTGCGATCTATACAGATGGAAAAACTTTTGGCTATACATCAATTTTTAAATAGATTTCCAAGTGCGAAGGCTTGGAGCGAGATGGTATAATTTTTCAATAAAGTTTTCAATACAATTTGCAGCAGAGTTTCCGTTCGCTTATTCGCGTTTCGTATAGAAATTGAAGAGACAGAATTTGGTGCAACTCCAGCAAGCTCTCAATTTTCTTAATTCAAATTGAAGCTGGGAATAAAGGGCAGATACGAACGGCATTCAAGTAAATAAAGTATAATTAATGAGACACTCTGCGTATGAGTAATATATCCACATATACGTATACCTTTGCTCTCCGTTTCAACAGGTCTTAAATCGAGAAAAGCCCATCCAGAGCTTATTCTGGATGTACCGCATCGATACCGAATAGGTATTTAATTACGGAATTTAATTACGTACAAGCATGTAAAATAATATAAAATACAATAAAATAATATTGAAAATTCGAAAATTGAAAATTGAATAATAAATGTTACATTATCAAAAAATGAGTAATGAAAATGGAACAAGGGAACCTTATTCTATATTGTTGAGTTCTGGCAGAGAGCGTGGCATGTGAGACAAGAGAATGGTTTTCTCAGTCGAGTTCGTCAAAGGAGTGTAAAAGGGTAAGGATGGCAACCCTAATTCTGTTGTTCTCTGCGTATCCTGTCATTGGCAGCAACAATTCACTCCCCTTTGGGACTGAGGATAATGTAATTATGTTAAGTGGAAATTCTTTTCAAAATGTTCTGGACAGAAAGGATTACGTTCCGAAAACTCTGTCTTGTGGTGGTCCTGTTGTGCCTGGCTCTTTATATGTATGGGTGTACGGACATGGGCACGGGACCCAGAATTGAACACGCGTACTTTGTGAGCACCGAGGGCTGCAAAATGATTGCCCTGGATGTAACGAATCGCGAGATAGAGAGCTACATCGAAAAGCCTCCAATTAAGTATGCATGCAGGCACTTTAACTGGTTTGCACCGACGCTCCACAATGGAGGCTGGCACTTGAAGCTGATCCGCGGCATAGATCAGATCCTGATTGACCACAATCTGGACAATGAGAAGGATATTGTCTGCCTTTTTGATCCCTTTAAAGGTAGTAATGAATGGAACGTAACACGCTACGGAGGAACTAAGTCTCATCTGGTGCCCCCATACCGCTGGAAAGTGCGCAGTGCTGTGTACCTGCGCGTGTCGTGCTACCATCTAGATAAATTACTGCATGAAGATGTTTATTACTTGATCCAGCCACCGCCACAAGAGTTGCTCGAACATTCAACGAGCTTGAGGAAATGGCACGAAGGCAATGGAACGGAACCGGCAGTAGCCACCTCTGAGCCCCTCGTTTCGGTGATGATTCTGGGCTTGGATAGTCTCTCTCACCTCAACTTTCTGCGCCAAATGCCGCGCACAGCTAATTATATCCGCAGCAAGATGTCCCACGTGGAATTTTGGGGCTTCAACAAGATCGGAGTGAATACCTTTCCCAATCTGATTGTCCTGTTGACGGGGAAGAGTGAAAAGGAGATTGAAAAATACTGGCAGAAGATTCAGCGCATGGACGAATGCCCTTTAATTTGGAAGGACTTTAAGAAGGCCGGCTATAACACGAGCTTTGGCGAGGACTATCCATATGCCAGTCTCTTCAACTATTTTAAGCCCGGCTTTGTCTCAAATCCGACCGATTACTATCTACGCCCGGCCCAGAGACTTATGAGAAAGATTGATGGCACATATAAGCACACAAAATGCTCGGGTGGACGCTTGCTCACCGATATATTGCTGGAAATGGTGGACAACCTACTGGGCCATATGCAAAGGCATCCGTTCTTCTCGTTTTACTGGTGGTCCCAGGGCATTCACGAGTACTTCAACTTTGCTTCGACGATCGATCAGCGTTTTGCCAGACTACTGCGGCGACTCGATGATACCGGAATCACCAACAACACCTTCATATTCTTCATGTCCGATCACGGCTCGCGTTGGGGAAAATATCGGAGGACCATTCAGGGTATGCATGAGGATAATCAACCCATGCTGTTTACGCTCTACCCCAGGTGGATGAAGGAACGCTATCCGCTGGCCATCAGCAACCTGGAGAGCAATAGTCACAGTCTGATTACCACATACGACATGTACGAGACAATGAGGGACCTGCTCCACCTAGATTCATTGCAGGAGAATCGCATCAAGCAGCGGTCAAGTCTCCTATGGAAGCTACGCGGCTCTGACACACCGCGTGGCGTCAGCCTCTTCCTGCCAGTGCCTACGTGGCGCAACTGCAACACCTCCCACATCCCCGCCATGCATTGCTTGTGCCAAAGACTGACACTTGTGCCAGTGGGCGGTCGAGAGGTGCAGCTTGCCGCCCGCACAGCTGTCCTCGCGATCAATCAGCTGCTGAGGCCCTATCCCATGTGCCTTCAGCTCCAGCTCAAACAAGTGATTGGTGCCTACTACTCCGCCCCGCAGATGGCCCAGAAACTTGACCAGAGAGACATCACTGTGCGCTTTCAAACAATGCCAGGCGATTTTCACTTTGAATCCACGTCAAGGCTCACGGATGGGGTACTATCCCTTTTGGGAGAGATCGTTTGGACTTTGCATCGTAACAAGAACAGCTATTGCATAAACGATACTAAACTGGAGCCATATTGCTATTGCTCGGAACCCAAAAAGTCTTCCTGATCACACTATGTCTAGAAAGGAGAACCACCTGCCTAAAACTAAGAAAAGATCAGTATTTAATCCACAACTAAATTGTTCAAGGGTTTAGTTTAGTTATACGATTCAAATTTGTAAAATAATACAAAACTACCCTGAAATTTCCTGTGTTTTTGGGTGCCAAATTAAGTCAATAAATAAATCTAGTGTTAATTAATCTTAAGTCTTTACTCCAAATTGTATGCTGAGTGTATATATTTAATTTCGCCCATTTAATTGAAAACAAACGATAAGGAAGGTGTGAGTCGCTTCTAAAGACGCGACTCTACTTATACCCGTACCCAGTCAGCAAATACATTTTTGGGCATATGATTTTTTAGAATTTTAGAATTAAAAAAAAATTTTACATAATACATTTTTTTGCTACATCTGTTATCTACATCTACTATGTATATCCTACATCTAATATGTAGATTATACATGTACCATTTAGATTCTACATCTCCTCCGCTAGAGGGCGCTCGCGTACATAACGAGGTAGAGTGTGCGAGCGAGAAAGAGAATGAGTAGCGAGTCACTTGCTGAATGAGGCGGGGAAGCAACTGAAAATTAATTTCTTCAGTCTGGCTATAATTATGATCCGATCTGATTCAGATTCGGCAATCTGGTAGATATGGGCATTCTCTACGATACTGCGTTTTTAGTTTTATCGTAGCTTTAGAAATGTGCCTGCCATTTTTTTTCTTTTTTTGTGCGGCGGAAGGGGGCGGGGCGAAATGTTAAAATGCACTTGTAGCAGTGTGATATCACATGAGCCTGGAAACCAAATTTGGTTGCTCTAGCTCTTATAGTCTCTGAGATCTAGGCGCTCAACAAGACGGACAGACAGACAGACAGACATGGCTCTATCGACTCGGCTGTTGATGCTGATCAAGAATATATATACTCTATGGGATCGGAAACGTTTCCTTCTCTACGCTCCACACATCCACATTTACGATAAATCTAATATGCCCCTTAACTCTTTTTTGAGTACGGGTATAAACAGGGGGGAATACAGGGCTATATCGATTCTTCTCTTGATGCTGATCAAGAATATATACCAGGGGTCGGCACACAGCCTCACACATTTTTTTGGTGCGTTTGTGTGCGAAGACAACAGACACGAAGTCAAATACATTACTTATTTCTCTGCCGCTGCGAAAGCCAAAGAATTGTGCATAGGGCACACGAATGCTTCTCTGCCGCTGAGGCAAGCGAGCAGAATATGAAGCCGTTTGTGCATAGCCCGTAGCATGTTTCTCTGCCGCTACATCAGCAGGGCAGAATAACGAAACCACACGAAGTCTTTACGCTGTACGTGTTCCGACTGCGCTGCCCGAAATTTTTTCCTATGCACAGTGCATACGACGCTGCCGGCCTCTGATATATACACTTACTTAATGGGGTCGGAAAGGTTTCCTTCTCTGCGCTCCACACATCCACTGTTTGGCTATTAAGAGTTTTTAATAGCCGTGGAAACTCGTTTGATTTTAAGAAAAAAGTCTAGCGTTTCAATGGGTAATGTACAATTTATTTTGTATTGGTAATGTAAAGTAGGCGTCAGTATGATCGATATAAAAAAGCGATGCGATTGATACGAAGATTATCTCTTAACTGGCTACAAGGGCAAATGGGCCGACTTGCCAGCGCCCTATACAGCAAGTGTTGAAAGAGAGCGAAAACGAGCGATGAAAGGAGAGCAGATCGGGGCAGATGGCAGCAGATGCCGAGCACGAACGTCATATGGAACGCGAGAGACCAGCTTAGATGCTGCAACTGCAACAACAATGCGAAGAAGGCGAGATAAAATGAAAGAGCGGCCGCTGCCGTGCATAACATAGGCTGATTAACAATGATTTGTACAGTGCAAATAATGAACATAATTAAATAATATTTAGGCTGATTGACCCGACATCCACATTTACGACAAATCTAATATGCCCCTTAACTCTCCGAGTACGAGTACTCTCTTCCTCGCTCACATCCAATAATGATGCTGTCAATGGCATTTAATGACATTCAAATACGTTTCATCGGCGGTAGTCATCTGAAAGATCTGAGAGTACGAAAGCATAATTTGATACGTTGGATGCTTACCCTGCGAAAAGTATATACGCTTACCTCGTCATGGAATCCACCATAATTTCGTAGTTCCAATGGAGCTTGAGTTGCGGGATCCCTCACTGATTTCAGTACGTCTAAAGACTTTTTCAGGAAGTCACGGGAGATGCAGCGTGGTGTGATTCCCAAATTAATTGTCTTAAGTTTTCGACATCCTCGCAAGATGTCAAGGAGATGACCAGCAAGATTATTATTTCCAAATTCATGATCCGTGGTGATTTCCAGATTCTCAAGATTAGTCATGTTAGCCAAGAGGGGGAAGATTTCTTCGACTTTGAAGTCAAACTTAAGGCTTGTGATTGAGTCCACCTGTATGAGGTGGCGAGCCTCTTCAGGGCTAATGGATGTGTTCTCTATAACCAAGTTCTTTAATTTGGTGGAGTCCTTCAGTGACACTGCCCGGGAGAGAAGTGCTAGAGAACCTCTTTCGGGGTCCGAGGAGAGAATCAACTCTTCTAAATGCAAAAACTCTGCCAATAGCTCAATGCCCTGGGTATCTTTGATTGGGAGCTTCGAGGACTTCAGTCTCGGAATGCGAAGAGCAAGGCTTAGTACAGTAGCTAATTCCTGACCGACTGCCGGACCATCGATAGTTAATTTCTGAATCTTTGATTCGCCAGAAGCTGCATAAGCAGTCAGCAGATCTACCAGAGGGGCTTCACCATTCCTAGTTTTCATGACCAGCTCCTCGATGCAGGAACGCTGTGACAATACATCGAGACCCTTTGTGCTGCAGAACCCGCACTCGAGTCGCTTCAAGGAACTTATAGCAGATACATTGGTCACCTCTTGGGGGGTGAGACTTTCGCCCATTACAGTCAGCTGTGTTAGTGTGGGGCACTTCCAGACGGTAAGCATCCGAAGTAGGCTCCCTAAAAAGCCCGTTCGATGGGAAACAACAATCAGCGATTCTAGCTGAGGAAGTAGTCTCAGCTGTTCTATTTCCATTATCCTAAGTTGGGATAACCCGCAGGCCAGGGCTCGGAGGGACTTCATTCGAATCACTTGCATCAGCTCTGCATAGTTCAGATCTCCGTTCGGAAATATCTGCAGTGTCTGCAGAGTCTTCCCTTGACAGGTGGCCAGCTGGCCCAAGAAATCGCGCATGGAGCCTACTTTGTAGACTCCAGAAATAGTAACGTGCCGCAAATTCTGCAGGCTAGCTAGGGGATTCAGTCCAATGTTGTCAGGTAATTCATTGGCCGTAATGTTAATAATAGTCAATTGCCCAGTGAACTTATCGAACGTGATGATTCTAGGGGATGGATGGATAGAAAAACAGTTTAAACTTTTGCGATCGACCTATGATTTCTTTACAAACCTGCGAATCTGTCCTCTAAATTCATTCGAAACTTCGAAATTGCTTAAATGGAGTATGTGTTGGAGACTTCGTATATCGGAGATGTGGCCTTTAAATTTTGTCAACGAAGTAATCTTGGCCAATTCCGTAGTCTCACTAAAGTCGAGCGAACTGTAGGGAATGCACAGACTCTGTAGATTGGAATTAGTTCTCATCGCTAGGGCGGCAAAGAGATCCCTCAGTTCCCCAACTTCGAGGGATTGTATTTCCATATGGTTTACAGATTGAACGCGGGCTAAGGATTCTATCGCGAGTTTATTTTTTTTAAAGAAATCCATTTTAACGATCAATATATTTTTTTCACGATTCCCGAATATATTGCTGTCGTTGATCCGTATATTAAGTTTATCTTGGAAGGCCTCCAGCATTTCGACGAGCATTTCAGACGATTTCATGTCGACATGACCGGAGTGGATTGTATTACACTCAATATGAATTTCAGCCAACTTTTTGCAGGACTTTATAACTATAAGGAGCAAAGGCGATATCTGGTCTAGCCTGTCAATGGCATTTAGGTTCAGCTTTTCGAGTTCGGGGAGTTGAGACAGAAGCAGAATGTCCAGAGGATCAGCGAACTGACATTCCAAAGTTCGCAAAGATCTCAGACGAGCCAGTTCCTTTGCCTCCACGGTATCGATCACAACTTTCAAACTCAGCTTTTGTAATGTCTGCAACTCCCTCGAAGCTAGTGCAGCCAGGAGGCCCTGGAGGGATCCTGGAGATGATGGCACATATGTAATAGTCAATTCCTCGAGCACGGGTAGCAGCGCTAGGAGCTCAGCGTTTTGAGTTTTGGCAAATCCACACGTCAATCTCTTCAGGGACGCGATTTCAGATACAGCTGCAAATTCCTCTGCCGTGATATTTCCCAACCACAAGCTCGGCATTATGGGTGCGTTTCTGAATCCATTGAGAATCGACTTACGTGAACCACCTTGGGGCGATTTTACAATTACCAGCGAAGACAAACCTGGCAGCGACAAAAATGGACTGTAGTCGGAGGCGTTTGCATTCTGCTCTCTCAAATCAAGTGTAAGTTTTCCACATGGTTCATATGATATTGTCAAACTGACTAGCTCAATGTTCGTATAAGTCTTTGAATCCACTAAAATCCTCAGAACTTGCTCCGATATTACCCCAAAGTCTTGTTTGGACAGTATCTTCAAGTGGTTGAGTTTGGTCAGCTGGGACAAGAGCCCAATGCTCTGGGGATCGTCAAATCCACATTCCACTAGAGTTAATGTATCGATCTGGGCCATTGCCTGCGTTTCATTGTGGTCCAATGGTACATTGTATATGCACAATTTTTCGAGAACTTTGCTCTGATTTGCGACCAATGCCTCCAGCAGAGGTTTAAGAGTGCCCTTTCCTCCCGTTTCATTATTCATGTATTCCAGAACTCGCAAGTTTTTGTTCAGGCGGCAGATTTCAATCAAATCATCAATATCTATCCGGATATCTAACCGGAGTGTCTCGAGGCTTCTAATTCCTCCCAGACCTTTTACGGTGAAGCCTGAAAATAAAGAAATGTTACGTGCTACAAATGTAAACCCCAGACCTAGACGTATAATGCTCTCACCCGTACATAAATGTCCAACCTTTGCAGATTTAACTTGTTTTGTAGTTCACATAAGACGGTCTGAAATGCTTTCAAGTGATCACTGTGGAATGATTTGGGAGCGTAACGCAATGAGATAGTGGTCACAGGAGCGTCCCTGATAATGTGGCTGAGCTCCCTCCAGTAGGTTTCCTTTTCTTTTGCTGACCTTCTCTTTAACATGGCATTCACATCTTCAAAGTCGATGTGAGTTATGATCCTCGGAAGGCGCACATTTTCCCAAAGCCTGTCATATAGATCAATTTTCCATTCCTGGATCAGATCGTCAAACGTGCCGCAGCAAATGGCCAAACTAATGAAATCTTCATACGTGATTTCGTCGGGCGCATTTGGTTTCTCTCTCTCGCAGTTCTCTTTTATGTACATAAATATTTTAAATAAGCACTCGGTGGGCAATTCAAAAATGCTCACTTGACTCATTTTAAGTTAGTCACGGCGTTTGATTTTTTACAATTGCGAAATGTTTTTTTATTGAGACGGTTATTGTTTTTTTTATATTTTTATTTAACTTTTTTGTTTCGCTGGAAAAATGTTTGTTTGACTAGTGAGTCACTCACACATACACACGCACGATAAGTTTACTTTTAACATAATTTATAATGTTGTAATTTAGAATTATAATTTTGTAATTAATACGGCACCAAGTGCATGTTAGAATTATGCAACGAATACTTTATAATTGAACTTTAAGGAACAGTTTTACATATATAAACTGTACGGATAATTTACACGTCTCTCTAGCACGTCAACGTTCTCCGGAATGCAGCTGCAGTGTCTGCTGCAAGCACGAACAACAGTTCGCTGGGCTTATGAAATCTTTTTATACTGCCTTTTTTCCTGGAAAGATTGTCTTTATCTGTATGGTTATCTTATCTCACTTTTGATCGACAAGGGTCGCGCCTCTACTTTTATACCCGTTACTCATTCTGTACATATTTAATCTTACGATTTATTTAACCTCCCTCTCTCTATCGCTGTTCGCAAAAAATGACGAATTTATATACGTATGTATGGGTTAAGAGCATAGAAAGAAATAACGTTAGATCTAACCTGCTCCTTCCAATAATGATTTAATTATAATTTACAAATATTTTACCTGTTTCCGTTTTTCTCCCATTTTTTTTTTTTGTTTCTTCAAGTTGTTCGAGTTGCGATTGATTTCTGTGTGTCTGCAGTTTGATATGCCTTTAATTAAATTTTCAGTGATATGCATAAATGCCCAACCAATTCTGAGAGGAGACAAAAGCATGTCAAGGACTCATTCGGAATCATTCAACGCTTGGCTGATGAATACCGATGAAAATCTGTAGTTTAAAGTGTAAGTTTTTTGTCAAATTAAAAGTAAACAACTTATTCATTAAGTGGAAGGTGCCACACACACACACACACACACCAACACACCCTTTCGCTGAGCCCCGTGTGGCTGAGCTGCCGAGAGACCAAGCTACCACTCGGCCATTGTTGCATTTGTCTGGTCTTGTTTGCACACATGTCATACTGAGCATTTTTGTGACAAATCGTTACAAGCGTGTTAATAACTGCTGCAGCACAGGAACACGAACCCATCAAAGTCACCTCGACCTACGAAAAAAAAACATAAAAAGATGTACATAACATACATACATAAGCACAAAGAGGCAAACAATTAATACCCCAGGTTAACAGCCTGTTACCGCGCCCGTTTACAGCGCACTGTAAACGCTCTCGTGCGGCTTTGCATGTAAGCTAGTCAAGTTTACATACCGAACCACAAAAAGAACAGCCCTAAAAATATAGTAAAGCTTATAGCGAGGTAGGTACACTTGCATACATACATCATGTGTACATTCTACCGGCTCCGCTTCACCGAGATCGGTAACAGTGCGCTGTAACCGGAAGTGGGTACAGGCTGTTAAAGTGGGTTGGTAACAGCGCTGTTGCTATTTCATATTTCATATTTAACATTTTTTCCTTTGAAATTGATTGCTCTTTGCGTATCCTGTCAGTTGCAGCAAAGTCAGAAAAGTATTCAATCTCACTCTGTGAAGCAAGACATTGGAAATTAATCTGAAATTGAAATTGTTTGCAAAATGTTCTGGCCAGTTGAGAAATCTTTTCGAAAAATCGGTCTGGCGGTGATCCTGTCGTGCCTGGCCCTGTACGCATACGTGTGTTTGGACATGGACATCGGACCCAAACTCGATAATGCGTACTTTGTGCACAACGCAGGCTGCAAAATGATTGCGATGGATGTGATGAACCCCGAGATAGAGAGCTACGTCGTGAAGTCTTCGGCCTGGTATGGATGCAAACAGCCTACGTGGTTTGCAAAGAAACTCTTGAATGGAAGCTGGTACCTGGAGCTGACTCGCGCTGTAGATCAGATACTGATTGACCACAATCTGGACAATGAGAAGGATATTAAGTGCTTTTTCGATCGATATAAAAGTAAAGGCGACTGGAAAATGATACGCTACAGTAGGAATAAGTCACATTTGGTGCACCCATACCGCTGGAAAGTGCAAAGTGCTGTGTACCTGCGTGTGTGGTGCACGCACTTTAAGAAATTACTGCACGAAGATGTTCATTTCTTTATCCAGCCACCGCCAGAGGAATTACTGGAGGACTCGAGAAGTTTGAAGAAATGGCACGAAGGCAATGAAACGGAACCAGCAAAACCCACCTCTGAGCCCCTCATTTCGGTCATGATCCTGGGCTTGGATAGTGTTTCCCACCTGAACTTTCTGCGCCAAATGCCGCGCACCGCCAACTATCTGCGCAAACAGATGTCTCACGTGGAGTTTTGGGGCTACAACAAAGTCGGCTTGAATACATATCCGGCTATGATTCCCATGCTGACGGGCGAGAGTGTAGAGGAGAATGAAAAATATTGGAAGCCCCAAAAACGCATGGACGGCTGTCCTGTAATTTGGAAAGAATTTAAAAAGGCCGGCTATAACACGAGCTTCGGTGAAGATTATCCTGGTGCAACTCTTTTCAATTACTACCACCCGGGCTTTGCCGCAAATCCCACTGACCACTATCTACGCCCGGCACTGACACTTATGAATAGAAGGGGCGGCACGCGGAGTGAGACATCATGCTCGGGTGGACGCTTGCTCACGGATATATTGCTGCAAATGGTCGATTACATGCTGCCCCATATGCAACGGCATCCGTTCTTCTCGTTTTACTGGTGGGCCCAGGGCATACACGAGTACTTCAACTTTGCCTCGACGATCGATCAGCGTGTTGTCGGACTATTGAGGCGTCTCGATAATACGGGAATCACCAACAACACCTTCATATTCTTCATGTCCGATCACGGCTCGCGCTGGGGATCATTTCGTAGGACCTTTCAAGGAATGCTGGAAGACAATCAACCCATGCTCTTCACGCTCTACCCCAAGTGGATGAAGGAACGATATCCGCTGGCCATCAGCAACCTGGAGAGCAATAGTCACAGTCTGATTACCACATACGACATGTACGAGACGATAAAGGACCTCCTTCACCTGGATTCATTGCAGGAGAATCGCATCAAGCAGAAGTCAAGGCTGCTATGGCAGCTACGCGGCTCTGACACACCGCGTAGCGTCAGCCTCTTCCTGCCAGTGCCTGCGTGGCGCACTTGCAACACCTCCAACATCCCTGTCGCATATTGTCTGTGCCAAAAACTGATTCCCCTTCAATTGGATGGTCGAACGGCCCAGCTTGTGGCACGCGCAGCTCTTCTATCGATCAATCAGCTGCTGAAGCCCTATCCCATGTGTCTTCAGCTGGAGCTCAAGGATGTGGTCAGCGCCTACTCTTTGGTGCCGCAGGTTAGCCACAAGCGTGACAGGCGGGATTTTACCGTGCGCTTCCAAACGATTCCAGGCGATGCCTACTTTGAGGCCACCTCAAGACTGTCGGGTGGGGTCTTCTACCAGGCGGGGGAGATCGTTCGCATTATGCATCGCAACAACAACAGCAACTGCATTAGCGAGCTTCAATTGGAACCCTTCTGTTATTGTGCACTTTAACATCAAGAAAAAACATATTATTAAACGGAATCAGGAAATATAAAATAAATCCACAGAACGTCTTTTTATCTCATGAAATAAATGCACAAGTGTATGCAGAATATAATAGAACAAAAATACAGTTTTCTGCTAGGTGATGACTTGCAAATGAAACGTAAATTGATTAATTTTTAATCAGTATCAAACTTTAATTGACGTCTCATGATTTCCATTATTTCCAGTGGAAATTGACACGACATTTTTCACCAAAAAGCACTCATCATTTGTTATTTTATTTATACGAAATTTTAGCCCCAAGGCGGACACAATTTCGAACAGTTGTTTGGTTGACTGCAGTGTGGTAAACCAATTTGGCCTACATTTGAAGTCAAATATCTGTTCTTGGCTTTTGCCCTTTGACAATTCGATTATGCAATAAATGTTGTGGGATCTGCCAGCGGCGGAAATTGTTATTAAATTTGTTAGCTTGCTCTGTCGAGGCTCGGGCAATAACAGCATTCAGACAGACACTTCGATTGCATCGTTTTCAGATTATATTTCCTAGTCCGGCAGTGCTTGAGAGACTGTGTCTCAATTTATTTAAATTAAATGCCAAGACGGAGAGCTCAGAAACTGTACCATTAATGTGCCACACTGCGTATGAGCAATATTTGTCTAAATTATTCTCCCAATTTCTTTCATTTTGGCTCGGGCCTTGCCTTCACTTGGGGGAGCCCAGAAGCAAATTGCTTGCAGTCAATTTGTTCAAACGCTCGGCTTGGCTTCGCTTCGCCCATCACGATAATGTTGATGATGATGGATTTATGTCTGCCATTTGTTTTAGCATGCTATGTTTTTTGCTGGATTCTGTGCTGCTTTTTGCCTTACTTTGGCTTGTGCGATGCCTGTCATCGGCAGCAAAAGTGAAAAGTGAAGAGTGAAATGTGAGATGACTGGGAAAATGCCATAAATCAATTTTCACAATTCACAAAAAAAGCGTTTGCCTGCGCTTGTCTGTAAGTCGAGTGTTTATTTTTTTTGTGCGAGAGTTAATTGAAACAACACAGCCATTGCGACTGTCAGCAGCTTTAAGATAACAGCCAGCTGAAGTGACAGGAAATGGCGGTGAAGTGGGTAGGAAAAAAGCAATAAAATTGGTTTAGATTAATCATCGCAATTGCAAAATATACAGAGAAATGATTTAAGTTAATGAAAAAATGAGAAAATTAAAGAAAGAAACAAAAAATAGCTCAAAGCATAAGGTAACTCAGCTAACTTATAACCAAATCTTAAATGAAAATATTCCCAACTTTTAGCAAATTTTAAAAATCTCTAAATATGTGAAACTAAGTAAATTTATGATTTATTAAAGCTAATAGCGAGGTCATGAATCACTCGTGACACTCGTGACACTCGTGTGCTCGGTGCTCAAATACTCATAATTGAAACCAAAGCAACGTAAAAACGACACCAACCAGGCATTAATAAGGCTTTAAATATGGCACAAAAAAAAAAAAAAAAGAGCAACAGCAGCCGACAGCACATAAGCAATGGCAAGACCGCGAGCAGCAGCGTTAGGAGAACATAAAAAGCCAAATTAGCAATGTTTCACATCAAAGTGCGCATTAAATCCGAGACGATAATCACACACACACACAAACACACACACACACGCATGCAGCACACACACACAACAGCAACATACCCACACAAATGAGCACAGAGGCCAGACGACTACCAGCTTGATGTTGATGCTCTGCCTTTTGCGTATGCGTGAGAACATACAAAAAACATAATTAACCGCGACCTGACGACGACCCACAAAAAAGCCGTCAGCCCAAGGGCCCTGGCACCAGACACCAGGACACCAGGACACCGTGTTCTCCCCCGTCACCCATACACAGAATGCCAACCCCAGCTCGGATTCCCCACTGGCATCGGGTTAATGTGACGAACGCAGCTGTTGTCGTTGCTTTTTGTGCCAGCCTGCGGAGCCGACATTTTTGCAAATTACACACTTTTGAATATAAAGTACTCGCATAACATATACACGAGGCGACAGCCAGTCTGTGGCCCCTTTTAATGGTACAACAACAGCAGACGACAGCAGCAGCAGCAGGCAGGCAGGCCTTGGCAAAATATCGATATTAATATGTACATTAACCAAGAGTCTACGAAATATTACTCACACGCACATGAGTGCTTACATACAAACATTTCCAGCAGTGTAAATCGCAAGGAAATGGAGCAGGCGTTGGGTGTACTGCTCTGAGGGTTGAAATGTGAGTTCCAGAAACCCTTTAGCGAAGGCCAAGATAGAGCTTCGGAACATCGAACCCTCTGGAAACACACACAATATTAAATTAATATTAATACTAGCCACGAAAATATTCTCCTGGTTATATTTTGTCCGAAACCCCTGAGTATTTTGATCTTGAGTGCCGTTTGAGACTCAACTTGCCTTGCAAATGAAATTCAAATACAAATACACATACAACAATCTATGGACTCTGTATCTCTTCTCTCTCTCTCCGACTAATTATCTCTCATTATGGTAGAATCATTTACAATCGATTGCATTTAAGGCGCTTGAATCGCAGCTTAACCGCAATTCACTTGCTCTTCCTCACTCCTAACGCTGCCTCACTCATTGGTACTTCCGGTTCAGTTGGGCCACCTCGAAAGCGGAAGGATATTGCGCCTGCTGCACAACTGGGGGGTGTGGCCGGATAGGTACCCTTTCATTCGTGCGCTCTTAATGAAGCTCCCAGCTCCACGGTCCACATGCCCCCAACTCTCGCCGGCTTTACATATGAATAAATTATTGAATCCAAATTCAGTGCGATGGCTCGACCAGAGCCCCGGCCCAAACACTGAGCCTGACCAATGCCCCGACATTCCCATCCGTTGCAAAAATGCAAATATTGAAATAGTTATGAATGCGAATGCTCCCGCTTCATTCTCATTCTGCTGGGAAATCCTTAATCCGTGACAGGTCTGCACCACATGATCTGAATGGTGAAGAGCAGCAGAGTTGCATTTCGCTCTCTCTCTCACTCCCCTTAAGTTTCTCCTCTTGTGTGGCATTTTCAATGTGTTTGCAAATCACGGACATGGGAAGGGAATATGCTCATGAGGGTAGAAAACAGAGGATTACATTTGGTCAGATGCATGAATAGTACCAAATTGGCAACACACCGCAAAAGCGTAAGCCGGGGACGTGAACTGAAGGTCCGTTGTGCGTTTAAATTCGATAGTTTAAAAACTCTACGAAATAAATTGATGGTAGTAGAGCTTGGCCGTTAATTGATTCTTGAAAGCAGCTTTGATTGGCTGTGAAAGTTCATAAAAAGGTCCCAAGAATGGGCAAAAATGGAACATCGACAACAAGTCTGAATCTACCCAAGAAGAGCAGAAAAAGAACACGAAATTGAGCTTTACGCTGAGCATTATTGCACGATTGTTCAGTTCCAAAGGAGAGCATAAAACAGGGGACAAGAACGCTACCCAAAAGCTTCCACGTTGCACACAGAAAGAGGAACAGCCACAGACAGAGCTAACCAAAATGATACTTGACAATAAAAGAGTCAAGAGTCGCTTTAGATAGTCCAAAACATACATATGTATTGAAAACATGAACACACAAATTATGACATCAATTAAACCAGAGCATATAGTTTTATTTTAATGGTTGCCATAAATTCCATAAGAATTTATCCGATTTTATCAGCCTTTTAAATGCATATCTTCATTCAATAAATATTTTTTTCATATATGAACATTTTCTCCATTTCCAGGCTGAGTTAGCATTTTGTTCGTAATGCGAGTATCTTTGTATGGCTGCGGCCCAAATCCTAGGATGGCCTAAAATTGCATTAGGTCAACTCTTGAGCACACAAATTGTACGCCCCAGCACACTCAGTAGTGCTCCTTTTCTCTTTTCTGAATTGCAATTAGGATTGATATATGAGTTGAAACTGGCCCAGCTTTCGTATCGTTTCGTTTGGCTTTTGTCTTGCTTGTGTGCCGTTTTGTGGGACATGGATTTATGCCTGCATTCCCAACAACCATTCAAGTGCTGACTGAGGAGATTGACTCCAGCCCATTGCAATTTGTAAATCAAATTCTCTGCCATGAAGAGCATCGAAATGTTGGAAAAAATGGGAGAAGCAACAAATATTGTCAGTATCGTCGAATGATTGCATGACATTTGGCTTCTCTATGACATTTGCCAAATGAAAGCCTCTTGCTGCAGAGCAGGCAAGAGAAACATATTAAATTTTTATAAATATGGGGCAAGTGCAGTTGGTAAATTTTAAATTCCAAAAGCTTTTCATACTCGTTTATAAATTTGAAATTTCTACAAAGTTTCGATTTCCTCTATTTAAAAGTCCTTCAATTGGTTTTTGTTTTGTTTTTTGTAGCGCTTCAATGTTTTTTTTGTATCCTTGGAATATCCACCATCAATTATTCTTTTGATTCATTCTCTCAATGTTCGCATGAATGGCAAATAAGACTCGAATGCAATCAAATTAAGGGAGCCAAGTGCAGTTTAATCCTTTTACAAACACATTAAAATGTAGCCAGCAGCTGTTATCCCATGGCCATTGTGGCCCTCGGATGGACACAAACGAGAAGAGAAAGATGTAGGTTAAAAAGGAGAAAGACAGACAGAGGAGAGAGAGAGGAAGGGAGAGAGGGAAATGGTATAAAAAAGAAAGCGCAGCATTTAATGATAATTACAGCGACCATTAGCAATTGTCTGGCGGCAATAATAACAAAGTGAACATAAAAACCAGAAAAAGTAGGTAAGCTCTCGATTGCCGAAGCTGCAGATACACTACCAGAGGAATTTGTTCCCCTGAGAGGTATACGCTATGACCATGGGATTAAATTTGGTTGGGCTAGTAAGAAATATGGAAAAACATCAAAAAAATGAACCAATTCTCACAGCTATTTAAGCAATCATTAGACCCCTTTTTCAAGTTCATAACCAGACTACGATAAGCAGTAGCAGTAGGTGTAGAGTAGGACCAGCTTGATATGCTTGAATTGAATTGGTTTCGAGCAAGGAGTGGGATACAGGGCTGGGTTGGGGGGAGGGTGTTGAGCGTGACTCGATTTTCAATTACCACAGCACTTGGCTCAATCCAATGAATTGTTAAATTATGTAATGAAGCGTGTAGTTTAGATAAATGAAAACTAATTAAATTAACTTTGGCAAGCAGCGACTGGCAAAGAGCAGTGCAAACTTTTGCTACAAAGAAAGGTTCTTCAGCCAGTGCGAGGGATTCCACTGATTCCTCTTTGCCAGCAGACTGCAGCTTGCAGGGGAATTTAATTTGTGCTGTGTTTGCAAACATTTTAGTTTCAAATTGGAAAACTAATTGTTTGCCACAAACTCATACACACACACACACACACACACACACACACACATACTCAAAACAATCAAATAGACATCATCTGCTGCACTCATTGGAGGCACAACAAAACCATTTTGACTATATGAAGACAAAGACCAAAAACCAGATTCGAGTACACTTTTCTGGCAATTAGGCACGTTCCATGGCATAAGCTCTTATGGTTAATTGCCTTTCACCTCTCACACACCACACCACACACACACACAAACAGTTCTCGTGTGGCATCTGCAGCCGGCCAGCCCAGCTCCCCGCCCTTCCTCTTTTGTTCTGCTCTGCATTTAATGAGTCATTCGATTCGATTTCGAATGGGTCACGTAAAACATTAAAATGAATGAACGAGACGTTGCTTAGGGGGGAGGTGTGTGGGGGGGAGGCGGGCGGCACCAGCATCGTTTGCACATGACAACCAGATGGTAATAAATTTATTCTTTGGCAAAAATTATAGAAGGCCATAAATGGCAAAGTCATGGGGGCGTGGCACAGAAAAATATTAGAGAATATTCCATTAAAGTGGATGCATTTGTGGTAGTTAATTATGTGAGAGAGGGAGGAAAGAGATTAAGTTTGAAAGAAGTTCTGTACGCAAACTAATTTTAATTTTAATTAATCCGTTTGGAAGCTTAATATCTGGAAATCAGGTAGCTTCGAGGTAAACTTTGGTCCGAAAATAATGTACCAGCATATTGGTATACTCGTATACCCGTATTTTCCTACCTATTCCTACCCAAATGTTTAAGCTTTAAAGGGTTTCCCTTACTATGCATAGTTTCCATAGCTATGGAAACAGTCCTAAATCAATTGCTTTCTTTAGCGCCCCCAAATCAACCACTTCACACCCACACTCTTTTGGTTCTACTTTCCCCCCTTATTATCCCTTGCCCTGACTCTCTTCCCTTTTGTGGCTGTTGACTTTTGGGCCTTCTTGTCACCTTTGCGCTTGATCAAATTCAACACGTCAAATAACACTTTACCCCATCCAAAAAAACCAAGGCAGGAATGTTCTGTTTTGGCACTTGGCAATGAGTGTGTGTGTGTGTGTGTGTTGTGTGTGTGTGCGTGTTGCCTTTTGCACATTTGGCTGAATTTGAAGTGTGTGCTTAACAATTTTTGGACAACTTTTTTAAATTCCTTAAGCACGTAGACTGCCAAAACTTTTCCGCAAAGGCAAAAGTAATTTTGATTTTATTAGCTGTGTAGCACCTGATGGCATTTTCTGTTTTCCTTTTTGCAGTCACACTTAGTGCTATATTCCCCCTCCCCTCTGCACCACCTGTGTTCGCTCATCTCTCTGTTAGCCTGCGCCATCGCCTTTCAATTCAATTTCAGTCAATTGCGTGTTTGGCACAAAGTTTTTTTCCCACACGCCGACACACACAAAGAAATACAAGCCAACAGCCAAAGCCTCCGAAAGACGGCGACAACTTGACAAAGTCAACGGTTTGATGCAGGGCGGAGAACAGAGAAATTTAAGCATCGCCAGGGAGGGGAAAATTGAAGCGCAAAAGAGAGAAAACACGACAACAAAATTTGTTGTTATCGACATTTGCTGTAGTCGATATTTCGCTGTCAAAGTACACAAAAAAAAACAACGAAAAACGAACAAACTTTTCGAGCAGATGCCAAAGATTCGGTGAAACGTGAAGAGAAACGACAGGAGACAGGGTCAAAAATTAATTAGAGCTAAGCCAACACAGATTTTTGCTATGCCGAAAGTCTGTGTTCAATCTTGAACATTATCTCAGCTGATTTTCAATTCGCGTTATTATTAAAGGTTTTTTCTAAAGTAAAAAAATATATTTAAATTTGTAACAAGAACAAGAACAAAATCAAAATGCAATCAAAAGTCGCCAACTGGCTCGGCTGCATCCACAACGGTTGACACATCTTCGGCGTCACTCTGATAGGAATTATCTTCCTCAAAGTCCAACGGTGCAACCAAGTAACCAACCATTGGGCACTCGGACTCAATCATCAACTCCCAATTGCGCATGCTGTTGACGTTGCAGACGCCCATGGATTTGTATGTCTTTGAAAGTATTGGACCAGCATCGCAACCAGCTATGAGATGAAGAATTGCATCGTCTTGGCTTATCATGCACGATGTCAGATCGTAGATCATGCCATTCAAGGCCGTGTAAGTTGGCTTGTTATCCTGTCCATTAAACTCGGACAGCTGTTGCAATGTGAGTTCTAAGGGCATGCGTAAGGCGACAGGTTCATCTGCGTTAGTCGGCTTGGATCCCAGCATTTTGTTGCAAATCTGTGACAGCGTTTTGGTGGCATAGTAACCGACGACGAATGAAATCAATACCTTGCCAGTGGTACTCTTGAGTGCAGGGCCGATCAGGCGGTAGGCAGCGTCTATTTTCGGCAGCTTAGCTGGAAGTGGAAGGTAATAGCCATTGGTGGCTTGGCTTATTAGTTAATCGTCACTCAGTTACTTACTTGCCAAGTGGGCCTGTCCCACTATCTGTATGTTGGCCATCAGGCTCTGTGCCATCGAAAGAGCGTTGCTGTAAGACATATCGAAAATATATTATTCGTAATATAAAATTTTTTTTTTTTTTTTTTTTTTTGTATTTTTCAGATCGTCTGTTCCGTTGAGACTGTTACAATCGACTAAACAAAACTCAACTCAACTGAAGCATATAGAAGTATAAATCCAGGATTTATGATTGAAATAATTTACTGAAACTGAAACCAGCAAATTATTAAAACTTTAAGTGCGTCATAGATCATGCTCAATTAAGATCAGTTAAAAATGATTTACTGCCCTGAGCAGCGTATAAAAATGTTAATCAAGCCAGCAATGGTGGCTGGCACAGCCTGAGCCACTCCCCACAGCCACGTGCAGTATGTACATCCAACAACTGTTAAGCCACCTGCTGCCAAGCTCATTTATTATATGGTCATATGCATACTATGTACAAAAATAGCTGTGTCTGCGCCATTTGCTATTAACATTAATGCCAAATGCGATCATAAAAATTGGGCTTAAAAACATTGTCATGTGTGTGGCGTCGGCTGTCTGCCATGTCAGTTGCTGTTTTTATCAAATTGGTTGTACTTGGACTTTAATATGACTTAATAAGCTCATTACAATTTTTTCGCTCTCTCTCTTTCTCTCTATCTCTCTCTGCATATGTGTGTGTGTGCTACAAAATGTAATTTCGCGCCACGAGAGTGCTCTGACATATACATACATGTGTGTACATGTATGTAAATACGACTGCAGGGCAAATGGGGAGAAGAAAGACTGACGCGGATTTGCGTTGGCTTTAGTTGATACCCTCTGCTTGCTATATATCAGAAAGTTCAATTGAGATTATCGCGGGTATTTAATTCATTTTCATATGTGTATATATTGTTACTTGCCTGAATATTCAAACAATTCCTCAGCAAAAGCTTCAGTTTAGATGGGTTTGACTGACTTTCGTTTAAATTGTATTATATATTAAAGGAATAAAGTCACATTAACAGTTATTCTTCGATATTCTTATTTTTTCTCATTTTTGTAGTCTGCTTGGATAGCCCTTTAAAGTAGGCAATGATTTAAATCCTATTTGTTGCGTTTAAATGCAAATTTAAATTCAATAAATTGAAAAATTCATTCATGCCATTAATAGCTGAAATACCCATAAGAAAAATGTTTTGTTTCACCTAAAATTGATCGACCTTTGAGTTACCAGTCCTTGCATTTGGAGACACTTTTCGGATGCATCTTTGTTTCAATTTTTTTTTTAATATCCAAAAATATTACTCCAAATTGAACGTGATGCAGCGAACATGTTGCCCTCCCCTCATTCGTAATGTCTTAATTTATTATCTTCAATTATCTCCGTTTCTATTCCAGCATGCCACCGATGATACCCTTGTTTGGCCTCCACAAGAACCAAGAGAAAACTGAGAAGCGTGACGCGTTTTCGTTTCCGCCTTATGCTCACATTAAAATTTGCATAACGTTGATTTTGTTGCGAGCACATTACGCATACGCCGCGTGTGACGCTGGCTCAAATTGCTTTGGGCACTCGGTTTGCGGCTCGCTGCTTCCTTTGCGTTTCCTTTTCTTTTTTTTTCTGTGGCTCGCTTGTCGGGTTTGTTGCTGCTTATTTTAATTTAATAAATTAAAACATATTTTGCATGCTGTTCAAATATAATTACATTTCCTTCTGCATTCCTCCTCATACCGCGACTTCTTTTAATTAAAAATAAAAATCATACTTATGAATAAAAAAAAACGGAAATCGCTTTAAAGTTACGCCGCGTGCTGCATGCCACCGCTACTGATGCTCGTTATTAATAAACTTTTCAATTGCCCACAAACTGCGGGGGCAGCTGTCTCGTATTAACTTTGTCTGTGTGCCACTCCCCTTAACAACTCTCTCTCTCTTTCGCTCTCTCACATTCTGTGTTTCTCCCCGCGCTGTCTCTTGTTTGGCTTATTAGTCCTGCTCTGCTGAAATTTGCTTTGGCAAATGTCGGAAATCCAACTGCCAAAAAGGAGCACAAAAAACCAAACTTTCAACCACAAAGTGCCAAAGCTCATAAGCCCACAAACAGCATGAAGAGAAGGCTGGGCGGGAATGCGGATGCTGCTTATTATTCGAGTTAATTAAAGCAAATTTCAAAAGGATTAAATTGCCAGCAGATTTGCTTAGTTTACTTTTGCTCCAAGCTGTGTTTCGGGTTTGGAGGGCGAGGAATATTCCCACTAATGGGGCCAGGAAAATGGAGAAAATGAGAAAAATGCTGAAAGGATAAAACAGAAATTGACAATTTAAGATGGGCTGAACTTTAGCCTTCAGCATACATTTTTTTCTAGAAATATATTCTTTACATTTCTCCATTATTACTTTGCTTGAATTTGAAATTGGATTTTTGATTCACTTAAATCAATAATAAAATGTAGCATTAAATTGTTCTCTCCTTTAAAGATGTTCGGTAAAATTATCTCTTCAACAATTTACATACATTTTAAATTCCCTTTGCTTTTAGTTACTGTCTCCTCTTTCAGCCATTTATTCAAAGGCAAAACGACTACCAAAATTGCTCTAAAATATTATCAAACATTAACAGTAAAGTCCCATTGAATCTTCCCCTTTTATACCCCAACTATTCCCCACAGTACCCCATGATTTATTCATGGAAAAGAACGAGCAGTAAAAGAACAGAAAAAAGCCACAACTGAAATGGCTCCCACATAGTTTTGGTCCATCTGACGGACCTCCTTCTTTTTTCGGTTGATGCTGAAATATTCTGCAGCACTAACCATAAATAAAAAAAACCTACGAAAAAATAGAAGCAAAAAAAAAACAAATATGTAAAATCTACAAAAACACAAACATCTATGGGGGGCAACAAGCAAACAAATTGAGCAAGAATAACAACGGCAGAAAAAATATATTTCCATGCGACAATTGCAAAAGTGTCAAGGTGCAGGCGGCGCCAGCCGCAAATATAGAAAACCCCCTGGAAAAAAAAAATGGCAAAAATAAATAAAAAGCACAGAAAAAACTGGGACAATAAAGTCTGGTGCCAATTTGTTGTGTAACCGCCAGTGCTCCCACACAAAAAACGAAAGTTGGCCAGCATTGTGTGCTAAATTTGAGATAGAAAGGAAATATTGCATGACTGGGGATATTTTTAATGCATATTTCCTGATGGGGGAATGCATATGTCAGCATTTAGCAGGTTGTGTAGTGGCTCTTGAAGTTGATGGGAGGACTTTGCCTTTAAGCTCACATCTCTCACAATGAAGGATGACAGAGGAGAGGCTCAAAGTTGTGGCAGGCTCTACTTTTTTTGGGGGGCGAACACAACTGGTAGAAGAACTCTGAGGTATAAGTCGATTATTCTTTTCAACCTCAATCACAAATGCTCGTTTATGCCACACCAAATACTCATGCGTATCTGGCAATGCATTAAATCAATATCTCAGACTCTGTCTGGTAGCTGCTTGTGTGTCTGTTTGTCTGACTGCCAAGGAAAACTTCCAGCCGACAGATGGAGGAAAATAATGTAAGCTGGCTGAATAATTGCGGGTGAAGCGAAGCCCCAAAAATTAATGAACTCCAAGGAGAAGCAGGAGCAGGAGCTGCCATAAATATCATACACAAAGTCGAAGTTTTCTTAGTTCGAATTGATGAGCAGCGCGCCGGCAAAAAGTTTCGGTGTGGCACGTTTTGCATGATGAGGTTTCCGCAATCATTTTCCACCCAAAAACCCGCAACCCACAAGCCCACGCAGAAAAGTTGCTCATTAAGATGCCGTCGAGAGGAATCGCGTGAAATTCTCATTCCGATGCCAGATTATTAATATCTGTGTGGGGGATGGAGCGTGGAGTGCCATGGAATCTCTGTTAGTGTGTGTGGGTGTGCAAATATTTGCGCGATTCTCATTAAAGTTTCACATATATCACGCATACGCCGCATTGTGCACAATTAGTTGCAATTTATACCCCTTACACCGAAACGAGCACTCGGCTTAATGATACTTAATGTGTAAATCATTATAATAAATTACATGCATGAGCGATGATAAAAATAATCCAGCGCCAAGAAATAATGCAAATAAACCAAGTGAATCCCCATAATGTGTGCGCCGTCAGGAAAAACACACACACTGAGGAGAGACAGACAGACGGACAGACAGACTGACTGAATGCAAAGAGAGAGAGAGGGCCAGCCAAGTCATAACAGGGCCAAGAGTGGAGTCCTTATGCACGCATTAGACATAAAGGCCATAGACATTAGGGCGCATAATGAAAAGCATTTCGGTTTCAAGAGTGCGTCACAGTCACCACGAGAGCATAATGATGATGATGATGATGATGGGGGCTGGTGCCAAAGCCATCGCAACATCAAAGAGACAGAAAGAGCGACCGGCAAAATGGAAAAATATACAAAATACTGACTCGTACTCGCACTGTCATCCCATGGGCGCTCTACAAGTTATGAAAGCTTTCCTTTTGGCCCTAACCATACTCAAACATGGCTCACAGCTGTTGGCCAGCTGTTTCTGGCTGCAATGTTTTGGGTAATTTCTGGCAGAGCCTTTTCCGCGTGGACCAAAAACTTCCCTTTCGCAATAAAACCCAAACACGTTTCTCTCACTCTCTGCGGGATGCTGTGTGCGCATGTTTAGAGTGAATCACTCGCAGAGCGGGAAAACTCCAGGCTCTCCTTCAGATATATTTTATAGGAAGAAAGCTCAAGCTCTTTTATCTGAACACTGGCCGCATCCATGTGCTCATAGGATTGGTCCAGTAGCGGAGCAACTTTGAAGCGTTACGGTTGGTCGCGAGTCTGAACCCGGAGCCAGAGGCAATCTCTAGCCATCGCATCCAGAGCGCTCTCTCCTTCTGTGAGACGCGTCGCGGCGGAGTCTTCGACTTCCCAGAAACTGTTTACATTTTTTGGAAACTAATTAAAGTGAGTTTACGGCTGACTTACTGAATCATCATGATTCTGCTAAAGAGTTTGGCTTGGTTATGGCCCTCGTCCTTCGGCCAAATTTAATTGGCCAAGTGCAGACAAATTTCTAGAAAATACAAGTGTGTGCTTGAAAATAAGTTTTAAA